AAAAAAAAAAAAAAAAAAATCGAGAGCTCGTGCCGACCTGCTCGGCAATACCGACTTGTCAGAGCCGAGCCAAAAAAAAAAAAATGAGCGAAATCGAGTTTTTATTGTGTTTATGAGTTGAGTGAGATTTTTGAGTGAAAATTATCAAAATATTTCTAAGTGTTGAAATTGCTGAAATTCGCGGGCTCTAATTTGGTTCCGCTAGATGAAGTATTTTCCCAAGTTACAAGGCTTGGACAGCTTCTAAAATTCGCAGGCGCGAAAAACCGGTTCGCAAGCCAGGATAATTTCGCGGGGAGAAATATTGGACAACTTCTAAAATTTGCATGTGCAACACGTTCGCGAGCAAGCTATTTTCGCAGGATATTTAAATGGGAAGTCAACAGCTGTCAAAACCCTATTTTCCCCTCAGCTCAAACTTTTCTCTCTTTCCAAACTCCCGCAGCTCACTTTCTCTCTCCTCTCTCTCGCCTAAAATCGCAGCCATCTCTCTCTTTTTTTTTTTTTTCCGCCGCCGTTTGCTGCCATCTCCGGCGACCTTAACGGCGATTTCGATTCCGACCGAGCACCGGCTTGCACCCCCATCGGCGACCCGATCTCTCTCCCAAATCTCAGCCCTCTCTTCCATCTCTCTCTTCTACCGCCCGCCGCGCGCAGAGACTCCGACAACCGGCAATCGCTCCTCCACGGCGAGCTTTCCTCTGCTCCTCTCACCGACGCGGCGAGCCCGACCATTTCGACCTCAGCCCCGCGACTTCCAACCACCCGCGAGCCCAGCGGCGTGAACCAACAGACGCCGACCACAACCACGAACCCCAATCTGCCCTTTACCTCCGCGCCCCGATCCAGCCGGCAACCCTGGTTCACGGCGACCAACGACCGGCGACGCAGCAGTGATTTCCAGCAAACAGAGTGACCGGAGACTTCGATCTCAAGCACACGGCTCCCAATCGCAGCGGCAAGCTCTCAGGCCCGTTCACGGCAATTTGTGTATTCCACCGGCGACCTCAAGGCTTTAAAATCCGGAGACCACCAAGCCAAGCTGGATTTCCAGCAACCGAGCTCCGTTAGGGCTTTATCTCTGTTCACCTCGGCTAGTCCAAACCGCGTGCACAAGCTCCTGGCCACCTCAGCCCCGAACTCCCTCAACCTCAACCGCGAGCTCGACTTTCGGCAACGTGACGGCTCGCGACTTCGGTTCCTCTATTCTCTTCCAGTGAATTCAAATTGTCTCGTCCCGACTCTTTCAATTGGCAAGGTATATTGGCTAAACTCCGACTTGTTCATTTCAATAAAATTATTTTGAGTTGGAACTTTGTGTGTCGATTGAATTGGTGGAGTTGTTGAAGATTGGGAATCGTTAATTGTTATTGAATTGGGGAATTACATTGAGAGTTGATAATCTATTGTCGGTTGTGCATATTGGATATTGGATATTGTTGTTGTGTTTGGAGACACGTCTTGCCGGACGTGTCGGGACTCTTTTGTAGGAAATTATTGGAGTTGCACGTTTGGCTCTTAAGCACTGTGCCTCCGAGAGAGAAGCAACCCAATGGACACGCATTTGGACGGCACGATGACGAATCATATTGTCTCTTTGGACGCACGACTTTAACAACTTGAGCAAGAAAGGGTCGTCGGGCTAAGTTCTTCCATTCCACCGGACGAAACGCCAATGGATACACGGTGATTATTCACCGTGTTGAGTACGCACTTTCTTTTCTTTATTTTCTTTTTCTCTTTGTTTCTTTTTATGTGTCTTTGTGTTTATTTTCTTTTATTTCGTTTCTTGTGATGTTATGTTCACCGCATGAGCTTATGTGATCTTGTTTTTTCTTCCTTATACTTTGTTGGTCAAGCAATGAGGTCATTGCTTTGTTTGAAGTGTGGGGGAGAGTTTCTTTTCTTGATTATGCATGCTTAGGTGGTGATTGCTTTGTCTTAGGCGTTTATCTTTTTGTTTTTAGTGTCTTGGACCGGTTTTGTGTGTTAGTCTTGTGTGTTTTTGTCGATTCCCCCTCGTGAAGTTCGATGTTTGGTCAATTTGTTAACTTTTATTGGATAAATTGTTTATGTCGTTTTGAACTATCTTGTTTAATGCCTTGTAATGATTCGAATTCCGGCAATTCTAAGTAATTGAAGATTCGTGAATGTGGAACACATGATTTAGAATTACGTCTTGTTTTGTCCTTTGCAATGCTCGATTGGTCCATACTTTGAACTTGCGTGCTTTGAGGTCTCTTGTTTTTAGCATACATGTATTCTCATTTTGTACACTCTGTGACATTTTGTTTTGATCATATGTTGGATGAAGCCCACGTTATTGTATGGAATTGTTGCCCTCTCATTAAAAAAAAAAATAGTAATAAAAAGTGAGTATCGCGGGGTCGTACGGATTACACTCCTCTCGTTTTGATTCATTTCGATGAATTAGAATAATGAGTGCGGGAAACCGGTCTAGGAAACTCGAGGTGAACCCTCGAGGTCAAACCTAGATAATATTGTCCGGAAATCCTCGTTTGGAAAAAGTGACTCACGAAAAAAAAAAATATATATATGAATATATATATGTTGGAGTTCGTGGGAGTTTGAAGGATTAAACTCCACTTGAACCGGTTCGTCTATTATAGATAGACCGGGACAACGAGTACGGGAAACCGGCTTAGGAGGCTCGAGGTAAACCCTCGAGATTATACCTAAGTAATAATCGTCCGGATAACTCTCATTTGGAAAAATCGGCTCTTAAAAAAAAAAAAAGATGAATAAGAGAGGGAAACATTCATTTGTGTCTTGGATATTCTTGATATGTGATGAGGATCTTTTGGTCCCATGAGTTTATGATTCATTCTTTGTTGGGACATCGATGCGTGTGTGTTCTCGAGTAGATTTGTAAAAGTATGCTTGTGATGAGTCGACTATGTGTGGTGGAGCATTGGACGGTTTTGTTTTGTATGATTCTAATTTGTTGGGGAACGCATGATCTAATTTGATGTTACTAAGTATTGCGGGTAAGATGAGCTAGGTATGGCTTGATGAGTGATGAACAATTAAATAAATTTATCTTTTCAAAAGCTAATGATATTGTTTGCTTGAGGACAAGCAAAGAACTAAGTGTGGGGGAGTTGTTTGTTATGTTTTTGTGTGTTTTTCTTGCGTTTTTATTTGCTTGATTCGAGTCTTTTTAAGTTCGGTTTGTAAGTCCCGGTCCATGTTTGTTCATTTTTAGTAGCTTTTCATTTTTGAGTCATTTTCGTATATTGTTCTCTCTTTGTGCATTTTGGTGTTTTTGTAGGTCAAAAGGAAGTTCCGAGTCGATTGGAGGAGTATGCGTCGAGTTAAGAGCCTTAAAAGTCGAGTTAGCGGTCGGGACAAAGAAGAAATTTAGAGCCTGCGAAAATGCACCTCTATCCTGCGAATATGTGCTATCTTGCGAGTTCACTCTATCCTGCGAATTCCTTATGCTATCCTGCGAGTTTTCATCCTCTATCCTGCGAATTCACGTATCCTGCGAGTTCCACCTCCTAGCGAAACTATCCTGCGAAATCGAAGACCTAACCTGCGAGTTCAACCTATCTAGCGAGTTTTTATCATTAAATGTGTGTGTTTTGCTTAGTAGTATAAATACATTTTATGCTTTGTATTTTGGGGATCCAACTTTCATTATTTCATTTTTCCTTTTTTGGTTCTTAGCTTATGTTCTATTTTGCTCTCTAGATTAGGAGCTTATGCTATATTCCGGGAGATTTTCCGGCGACTTCAGTTTCTTTCAAGTTTTGAGCTTTTGACTCCGTTTTTCATCGTCTACGCAATGGGAGATTGAGTATTTAGTTTTAAAGCTCTTTACTTCGTTTTTGCTCCGGTTTTACTTATAATGTTCATAGAGTAAATTGGATTTGATTGATGATGGTGGAAATGCTTGAATTTGATTGCTTGCTTGAGTAGATAGAGCCGTTAATTACTTGTTGATCTCGGTTAGACGACTAGGGTTAGCAATCTAATGCTCGTAGCTCATTTATTCCGTATGTCGATTGATTATCATCTCGTTATGGTTAAGGCATGAGACTCCGGTGATCTAGTTAGCTAATTGCTCGTCATTTGATCTTATTTTTAATTAATTGCTAGTCTTTGATTGCTCATTTAGTGTTAATCAACTCATCCAATCAATTGCTTAGAATGTTTAGGATTTTATTTTCCCTTTTTGTGATTTGGACGATCATTTAGTGAGTAAAGCTCCGAATAGCCTTCTCTCGAGATCGACCCGAGTCGGGTAACTCGGTTATCCCTTGCCCATCAAATCTATACTAAACATATTTAGCTAAGCTTGTTAACTAAACGAGTTTTAAATAAGCTCTTTTGTGAATTGACCCGAGCTCACGAGCGGCTCATATAATTTAACATATCTATGGAACGTATATGATGCTGATTATTTTTTATTTTTTAATTGAGTTAGTGAAATTGTAGGGAAAAAAAGTAAGCTAAGGTAAACAATGAGTTTGAGCTTCAATGACATAAATCTTGACCGAAAATAAAATAAAAAACAATTATTAAGGAATGTTTGAAAAATTTGAAAAAAAAAACATTCGTAGAAAAGGTTAGATAAATTTGAATTAATTTTTAATTAATGTTTGAAATTTTAAATAAAAAAAATTATATTTTTATTTTTTTCAAACTTTTTAATATATTTATTAATTAACATCTGTGCACTAAATAAGTGTTTCTCATACATTCACGTCATCACACACACAAAGCATCTCTATGTCCATCCTCAATGCATGGCTAGAGTACTGGTTTGGATTATTCCCATCCACACAGATTCAATTAGCAATTGATTACTAATCCAAGTTCCGGACTTAGCCTCGGTTCGAGATGTGCTGTTATGCGAGGTTTGTTGCGAATAAGGCGAACTGCTTCCTTCTCAAGCAGGGGAATACAAATTTCAGTATCTCATACTCATTGAATACACATTCAAACTATCACGGGCTCGACGAGTACGTAGTTTATAAAGTATTTTGTCTCGGTTTTAGAATTGGTATATCCGTCTTCATCCACGTATAGAAGATTAATCACACGAGCAAGATTGACGACATTCATCATTACTCGCAAAGGTGCTGTTGTTGTTTGAAGCCATTCTTCATTCATATCCTTCCATGCTTTCTTCACTTGTTCCCGAAAATCTGCAAAAGCTTCCGCCTCCGATGCATCGTTTTGTTTCATGTAACATTCCACAGCTGTAATCTTTGATTCTTTCTTCATAAAAATAAGAAGCTTTTTTAGCTACACTAATTTTATAAGTTAATAAGAGTTAAAACATTTATAGATTATCATGAGTTTGTGTTTTTCTTACCCCATACCCTACCATGTCATCCATTAGCCTACATATTATCGATGATGCTCGCACGATTCGTGATTCGCTTACGACCCAATCACACATTTGTTTCGTAACTAAATCTCCCATGCCAACAAAAGATGTTACAGACAACATTGTATAACCAGAGGATACAAGTGCCACTTTCATATACTCTTCCACTGTTGGCGTATGCTTACCGTATAACCATTTCGCTTCTTCCATGTATGCACTCACCAATCTTTTCACCTACAAATAAACACAGGCCTCATTAATTTCCTGATAGAGAAACAAAATTTGCTTGTATTTTTTCGTTAAATATATACACACATATATATATATATATATATATATATATATATATAACATGCCTCATCCACTGAATACTGAACAAAATATGTCGTGCCAGAATTCCCAATTTCCGCTTCGATTTCGGCATAAACGTCCAAAAGAGCTTTGTAACATGTTCTCATGTACGGTGGCAATTTCTCCAAGGCATCAAAGTTCCAACTGGAGAAAAAAAAAAATATTAATTAACTAAGAAAAGCAGAACAAAAAGAGTATTGAAGTACTAACTACAAAAATAATTGCAAATTGATATGATGAGCAGCACATAGGCATCATGTGTGACCTCTGAATGGCGTCCGTGAAAAGTTGTAGATCATCCAACGTCCCGTGAATATCATAAATGTCATCAATAACGGAAGTTATGCAAAATACTTTGACTAGAAATTTTCTCGCGAGGTGAAATCGGGGCTCAAAATAGATTGCCAAAGTCCAGAAGTAACATTCGACCAATCTATCTCTCGCGAAAGGCAGTCTATTTGCAAAGTCCAAATCCTTCCACCACCTGCAGTGCTTTTGTCCGTCATATACGAGAACAAACAAATTGCAAAAACAATACTCGAGTCCATTGATATATAATACACATTGCTGCACCAACCTTGTAATGCTACTCAACTCCTTTTGGTGCACCTTTTGTAAGATGTTGAAATCCAATTTGGCAAAATTAAGCAGTAGTGGATTGTGTGAATCATGTTCCTTGTACATAGAAATGAACTGTTTGCTGCCAATCTATTGAGACTCTTGCTTAGTGGATGCTTAAGTGTTTCTCATACATTCACGTCATCACACACACAAAGCATCTCTATGGCCATCCTCAATGCATGGCTAGAGTACTGGTTTGGATTATTCCCATCCACACAGATTCAATTAGCAATTGATTACTAATCCAAATTCCGGACTTAGCCTCGGTTCGAGATGTGCTGTTAAGCGAGGTTTGTTGCGAATAAGGCGAACTGCTTCCTTCTCAAGCAGGGGAATACAAATTTCAGTATCTCTGTTAAACTAGTGTGTATCCCGTGCGATGCACGGACGGACTTTTTACTTAAAACCTTTTCTAAGACTTTATATTAAACATAGTTATTTATGTTTAACATCTCATTATTGTAACAAAAAAAAAAAACCAAATATGAAAAATTATTATTTATTTGAATATAATGGGTATCCCCAACTAAACTATAACATCAAACATTAGATATATGATAAAATTAATTATATGATCATCATACTTTTTGGAAAAAAAAAATCATCAATTAAGTTGAAATACCCGAATATAAAAAATAATTTATGATATTATTGACCATATTTATCCGTTGTATTTAAAGATATCATTGACCATATTTTTATGGCTTAAGGTTTACAAAATATATTTTTCAAAATAATAAATTTTTTTCAATTTGAATTTGACTTTTTCATCCGGCCGATATTTTCCACAAAAAAAATAAAATAAAATAGTATTTTAGAAAATTTTCGACGTGAAAATCAAATAAAATTAATTCAAAAGTAATCGATTAATTTAATATTGTTCAAAATTGTTTGATTCGGTCATAATCAAATTTGATTGAGCTTATCAAATGAAATCAGAATTTATACCTAAAATAGTATACTTTTTTTGTTTGATTTCCCACAACAAAAAAAGGTCGTACTTATCACCTTAAACCCAATTCAACCTATTTTAGATTTTAAATATATAGTAAGCAAATAATAGATGTAATCTACAATATCCAATATTAATTTGAATTGTTTTAAATAAGCAAAATTTTGAAATAATTATTTGCATACAAAATAATAAAATCGAATATGTTAGAAATTGTTTCTTTAATAAAAGAATCTTTTCAAAACATATCCAATATTAAGTTGAACTGTTTTAAATAAGCAAAATTTCGAAATAATTATTTGCATACAAATATTAAAATCGAATATGTTATGGAATTGTTTCTTTAATAAAGGATTTTTTTTAAAACATATCCTACATTATCTTTTTGAAACAATGGAAATTATTTTCAAACGTATCCAAAAGAAATCGGTTATGTAGAAGATAATATATCGTATTTTAAAGAATCCATATTATTATGGAATTGTTTCCTTAATCACATCCTAAAAAAAAAATATTTAGTTAGGCTTATCTAAAAAATCGGATTTAACCAATAAACATATACCAAATCATAACCTAAAAAATAGGAAGTTAAAACATATGGAATTGTTTATTTAATAAAGGAATCTTTTCAATACATATCCAATATTAATTTGTCAAATAGTAATGACCGCGCGTCGCAACGCGGCAAAATTAAATTTATATTTTCCTTAACTAACCTCTACTAACTAGTAGTAGTGGCGAGCAAGGGTCGAACCCACAGGGAGTGTGAATCAAATTGTGATATTTTGTATTAATTGAAATTATAAAAGCAATAAAATAGGGGGGATTGGATTTAAGAATTAAATAAACTAAAATCCTAGTAAAGTAAATAAAATATAACAAAGGAAATTAAAAATAAAAATAAAATAAATAAGAGAAATTTCTAGTTCACGGTTCCGTCTACACCCTCGACTGACTCGTCTAATCAACTCTGGTATCAAATCTCGCTATCTTATGAAATTACTAGCCCTAGGTAACGACACGGTCTATTACCCGAATTTTTCCTTATTTTTAATCTAACCGCGAGACGCTCTACGATTAAATCTGACCTCTTGAACAGTCTAGGAAACGCTTCCTAAATTTAATTCAATTAGCCGCTTTACGAATTAGAAAAATAGGCTAGACTAAGTAGTGACGCGTTCGTTCACTTAAATAGGCCGTGTTATCCCCGGTAGTTACCATCTTCCGGATACCACTTGCGAATTAAGCACATCAACAATTACGGATTGAAGGCCTAATTCAGGTGTAGATATATAAAGTCTAGTCTAGGTGATCAATCTAAACAAGACTCAACACATCATGGTTAATTATTCAAAATAACACGAACAATTCCAAAAAGATAACTCAATAATCAACCATGTAAATCAATCAAACATCATCAACTCGTAGGGTTCGACATCCCCGGAAACTAGAAATAAAAATTAGCCTAACATAATAAATAAAAAGATAAAAGAGAGAGATTAATTATCTCCCTCGTGTACGGTTGCGGTCTCCCTCCGCGATATCGGATTCCTCGTCTCCCAGTCCTCTATCCGCGGCTCTCTGTTTTTCGCGTATGTGTTTGGCGGCTCCAAAAAGCTCTGTTGCGTCTATAATCAAGGGGCTCCAAAAATCCCTTAAATAATGATTGGTAGTTGCCTTAATAAAATCTCTTCTCTCTCAGGTCTTCAAGTGGCGTGTTGGGCAAATTCCTAGTGGATCAGCATGTAATTAATTTCTCAAAGTCCACTTTCCACAATTAATTAGATGACCCAAATCTTGCTCAATTAACCCATGCTTGGGCTTACTGGCGTGAGTAGCTCCAAATTCAATATATATGGTCTTCACTTATTATATAATATTGGACCAAACTGTGTGGCCTACATTCGGTCCGGATATGGTGCACAACATAATATCTGTCTCGATCTTCCTACAACGTCTCGTGATCCATAAAAATAGCTCAATAGTCTGAAAATAAAACATAAAAATATCATAGCACTTAAATCCATCTAATAAACAAATAAGTCAGAAAATATATAAGTGTGACAAAATTAAGCATATAAAGATACACTCATAAATATATAAATTACACACTTTTTCCGACCAATCAAATCTCCCCAAACTTAAACCGTTGCTTGTCCCCAAGCAACTTAGTACTGTAAGCACATAGATGGATAAGAAAACCAGTACGTGGAATATTTGCTCAAAACTCTCACACTTCTCACATAAGTGCATAGTTCAAACAACTCAAACCAATTTATCCGGACTCAAGATGAACTTATTCTAAGAACGCAAACACATCAAGTATCAATTCAAGTGACCACCATAGTTTGTCAATCTCTTTAACGAATGCACCGATCAATGCAACTAATGACACCCCTCTCTTTGCTAACAAGTCTAGTTTCTTTCCGTTTCTAGCCAAAGTCCAAACGTCTCATTCTCCAAGCTCTTTTTTTTCTTTTTTTTTTCTTTTTTTCTTTTCTCTTTTTTCTCTTTTTTTTAGAGTAGGGAACGGCAGCTCCGTCACAACCCGCGAGTTTTAGCCTTTCGTGCTCGTATAGATATGGAAATTATTGGTATACACTAGAGCCTCCACGGATTGACAGCTGTTGCAGCCCAAGACTTTTTTTTTTTTTTTTTTTT